TATAAATTAATCTAAAATAGTTTTTGACTCATTTATTTTTCGAGCCAAAATTGAAACATTACAAGAGTGCACACCATTATGATTAATGAGCTAATAGATTCTCACCTTCTCAACTCCGCTTGGAAGAATCTCCTAAGCATCTTTACATGTGTTGACAGTTACAATTTTCTTCATCTAACTCTTGGTAGATCAGGAAAAGTATCTTCTTATTTTTCTTCCTTATATCCTTCAAAGAATATTTTTGACTCGTTGTAAGGATGACATGATTTTGAGGCTCCTCATAAACTTTTTTTGTCATCTCTCATATACCCTGTGATCTAAACAAAACTTTCATTTGGATATTCTAATTTTTGTAATTATTATTTATAAGCTAAGACACTTGAAGTTGTATGCTATTTGTTATTTTGATTTAGCTTTGATACTATTTTGATCGAGAAAAGAAAAGATGAGACAGGGAGAGCTAGAGAGGAAGAATTGAGAGATGAAATAAGAGGTAAACTAAAAATTTTATTTATTTTTAGACAAATCTCGACACTTTTGATTTCTCACTTGTTTTCATACTTTATCATAACAAAACTAATCTATTTATATGATTATAAATGAGAGTTACAAGTCTCAATTATTAAGGCTTCGTTCATATAATTTTATTATATGTATCCTATCTAATTTACTAATAGTTTATTATTTTTATAACTTTCTTTTTTATGATGATCTCTATCATGATATAATCTTTCAATTCTTGTTAAATTATAGAGGTTATAATTATTTTTACTCATATGATAAGAGAAAATTTTTAGTTATTTTTTAATTAAATTTAATTCTTATAACACAAGAGTACGAGAATTTGAGTGAAGGAGGAGGAAGCAAAGGAGGAGCGCTAAGAGATATTGTCGATGACTTATGAACACGTATTCGTATCCCAAGGAGCTTGCGGTGGATTTTGTGCTATTTAGAGAATGAATCCGAAAAGAAGAAAAGAAATAGAATGGTAATAGATTATACAGAACCATGGATCTATCTAAGGGGAGTGAAGGGAGGGAAAAGACATCATTTGCTTTCTTCATCTTGAAGAAGCAAATATAGTATTATGTAAATAATAAATGTGACACGGAGGAAAATATAGTATTATCGAATAGAATCCTTTTCGATGATTCATCGATTTCTAGGTTTGAAAAATTAAAATCATAATTCTGAAATTGACGATTTAGGAATCGAAACCAATGGTTTCGAGTCCAATTTGAATAGTTGATTTCATAAATTTTAATTATTATTTTATTATTTAAAAATAATTTATATTTTTTTAAAAAAATAATTAAAAATAATATTAAAAAATTAACGGTTCAAACTGAAATTGCCTGAATCGAAATTGGAACCGATACTGATTCTTCGTTTTGGGAGAATCGAAACCATCGATTCTGAAATCACGATTAGAGCTAAAGGAAGAAGAATGATTATTGTTGGAACTGTCAAATAAAAATAAAAATAAATATTTTTTTCTCTTCACTTAACAAAATATAAAGAAAAGGTTAAATTATTGATCCTCATCTTTTAGAATTGTAGGAATATTTATTCTAAAGCAATAGAAAAACATATAAGTGATTCTTCACACCACAAAAACCCTTTCTCAGAATTCATATCTATTTTGGTAGCATAATTTGATGTCATAAGTCTCTGCAGAGACCATTCAAAGGTACTGATACCGTGCTCCATTCCCATGTTTGATGCGTGTTTCCTTCTCTGCTCTGATCAACTCTCGACAAACTTCATCATCTCTTCATGGAGCGCAAGCAGATCGTCCCTTCGCACGCACCGTGTCATCAGCCTCACCCCCTGCTTGGGCTTGGACGGGTGCAGGTAGATGCAGGAAGCGATGAAGTTGCCGTCGTCGTTCAACGGAGCTACATGCATCGGCTCTCCCCACCGTAGTTCACCTCTGAGAACCCCACCCTGTTCCAGCCTGACACCACCAGCGTGCCGTACTCCACCGGGACTTTGTACGGATCCACCGCCGACCTGCCCATCATCCAGTCCAGGAATTCGGTGGACATCTCTCCTTGTCTCCCTTATCAGCCTTGACGAGGGTAATAATGGCGACATGATGTGCCACGATGTCAATGCCGACGCGATGTGCGCTGACGTCATCCGCTCTCAGACAACGACTTCATCGTTGGGTCACGCCTGGCCGAGGCAGAGGAGAACGACGACCGAGGCACGCCCATACCCTGCGACAGTTCGGTTCTCCACGCAATGTCAATGGCGATGTCAGACGCCATCAGAGGTACGATCCTGCTCCCGCGGACAGGCACATCAGGTAACACTAAACTGCCCTATAAATACCCCCGAGTTCTAAACGAGGGAGAGAGGACTTCTTCACTCGAAACTCCCTCCACATACACTAACTTGATCGTCAGAGGGGTCGGGCCAAGCTTCCGACCCGACCTGTGTGCAGGTGCAAGGGCGGGGTTGCTTCTTCCCGACGCTGCGGAAAAGCCTTCCTCTCGACACCACGGCCTGACCGGACCATCGTAATCGGTAACCCAGACGATCTCGAGGGGGGCCATGCTAGATCCCCGTTATTCGGGCCCCAACCAAGCCGCGTTGGCCCCGAGGCCACGGCATAAAGTTATTTACACTAACAAGCCTCGTCACCTCTACCAGGGGCTCCACCAAGGAAGAGCCCGTGACCAACTCGCTGCTCGCCTTGGCCGCCATGGGGTAGTCGCAGTTGCTGTAGAAGCCCTCCTGCGACAGCAGGTGGCGCAGCAGGTGGCGGGTGAGCCCACGTCCGATAGTGCCAAGCCACCGCCGTGACGTGGGGCTGTGAGCACTTTTGGCTCGTCTTCCTCGGCTCTTACCATGTTGTGACTTAAAAGGGTGTTAGATAAATTATATAATAGGTATGATTAGATTTTGATTATAATTATTAATTAAAAAAATAAATTATAATAAAAAATTTTAAGAGATAAAACTCTTCTAATTACTTATCCGACCACCTATTCTCCTCTATAAAAAAAATAGAATCAACGTGGATACATAATATAATATTATTAAGATATCATAACTCTTCTCTAATCTCTCTTTAGTTACGAAGTTATTGAAATTATAAATTTATTTTTAATCTCTATTAATCCCTAATTCATCACTTGTTATGTTCCTATAAATGATAAAAAGAAAGGAGAATACCAGTCTAGTTCTCATTACATATCGATATTAGTGTAGCTTTCGGATTCGACAATGATTTGTCTGCAAATTAGATAAAATCCTTCATCGAAAGGTATGTATCTTAAATTTAATTTATCGTTATTTGATTTCAGTTTTCTATGATTAAAGTTTTTCACATAATAGCATAATAATAGTTTTTATACCTACAATTGATATCAGAATTATGTTTTGAAATTAAATACTTTAGATCATAAAAATATTTTATATTTAGATCTATTTTATTAGCACACTTTGCTTGCCAAAATATGTTATTCAGTTTGATACTTAAAAGATTCATCATTGTTGTTGATCTAGTTTTCTTTCTAGTTCATCCAATTGTCTATTTAAGAGTGATGCAAAGTTCCTCATGTTTGATCGATAGATTATTATTGATAATTTATTGTCGACAACGATATTCTTGAGGGCAATAACTGTGTATGCAAAAGTGCTATGGGGTGCAATTGCCAGCTATGTTCGCATGCACAGCTACTTGTGTGCGGCATCCTTGCAGCGATTGACCTACCTTGGTCACAAACAACTGCAGCAGTGCCATTGCTTGCAATGACTATGGTAGTGTAGTTGTGTGCGATGGCTACGGCGATTATAATAATGCTGCTGTATGTGACAATTGTGGCAGTGATGGCTACGGTGACTGTCGCTATGTGCAATGGTTACGATAGCTACAATAGTGCCACTACTTATTGCGATTGCAACAACGCCATTGCGGCATTTGCTGGTTGCGACCAATGTCAACTAGACACCAAAGGTAAATGACTAACTATATAGGCAAAAACATGGGTATAACCAAACATCGCGATAATCGTGGGAGTTATCTACACAACAGCATGTGGGAGTGACAACACAACGTGATGGCATAGCACGGTGGTGGTGAGGTCATCAATCAATCACCTGAGAATAGCCATGATGGTGCGGTATCAGTGCATCGTCGATGAGACCCATGCGTGTGGGCATGACAGAACTCAATGAACGTGATGTCTGAGAGTGGTTTTAGGGTTCCTTTCTTTTTAACTAAAAAGATATTATGACTCAAAAATTAAATAATTCCAATCTATGCCTTTAAATTTAACTTTGATAGTTATGCCCTTTAGAAATTAGATATTTCTATTATATATCCTAAAAAAATTATAGTTTTATCCTTCAAAAATTAATTTTTTTAATTTTTATCTTCAATTATAAAATTGATTAATTTAATTTATTATAATCGAATATTTTGATCAAATTTGACCATCACTATATTTTGACTACTTGATTGGATTTAGATTCGATCAATCAAGTTTTGATTAAATTTGAGAAAAATAATTTTTTGATTAAATTTTGATTTTGATCAATTTTAATTTTAACAAACCTAATTAGATGAATGTTGATCCAAATGTATGAGTCCAATTTAGATGGCCCAATTAAAAGTTATAACATAACTATGATAGAAAAGCTCAACTACACAATCAATAAAAGTTTTATATATATATATATATATATATATATATACCATGAGACCGTTTAGTTCTACCAATACTACTTTTAAAAATAATAATAATTCCCATGATTCCATCCCCTTTCATGAGTCATCACAATCCATTGTGTTTGTGGTCTTATTCTTGCTCATAGCCATCAAGTCTCTGCTCAATCAATCAGATGTCACAACTCACATAGGAATGAACACTCAAAATATATATTGTGAAATCATGTACGGCGCACATCCAGCCTTAAGGGATCAGACATGGGGAGGCGTCGGTGACTTGATTCGAAACAATACGATGACTGCGTTGTTAGTACACACAGATCATAGTGATGACTCTTCTTCACATCTTAATTCTCGAAGAGAAAAGCGACACGCAGCCACCGCCTCCTTCACTGAAAGGAACACCCAATCTTCGCCTCCGATCAACTCTATGTAGCGAGACAACATCAACTTCTCTGCAACTTCCAGCCTGGGATTTGTTAGAGCAATCTGCAAACACCAATGCAAAAAGTCGAAGCTTGAGTGGGATCTTATAGTTCTCTTTACGTCTCGGTTCTGTTAATTATTTACCTTGATCCCTTTCCTCCCTAAATTTTTATGGACGTCAAATAGCATTCCAATGCCAGTATTGTCGATCGAAGTCACTCCTGTCACGCAAAAATGCAGGAACTCATAAGATAACATGCAAGAGGGATTGCAAAGTCACCGACCAAATAAGAAAGCAGAACGTACCACCCATGTCAAGAATAACATATTGCAGATCTGCATCCTTCTTCTTCGTGTTCTCTTCCTCCTCTACCCATCTTAAGATCCTACAGAATGGTACAGCATGAGGTTAGCTCCTATATCATGAAAAGAGAAACAAGAGGTGGAAGGATAGCTCTTCCTACCTCTCTTTAAGATATCCAGCATTGGCATAGTAAATAGGGGAACCTAAGTTTAGGATTAAGATGTCAGGGTGGACATATGAGTCCGGGTATTGCTCCACATCATAATACATCTCTGTTCCCCGTATGCTGCCAAGCTTGCAAGTGCTGGGCCTGGCAATGTACAACAGTGACCTCACCACAGCTAAACATACCTGTAATGAGAGCATTGACAGTCAAAATATATATCACCATGAATGTAGAAAAGGGCAGGGAAATCCATGCTTGATACTTACAGAAATAAGGAGGCCAACAGTCATACTGTAAAATATGACACCAAAGAATGCAGACATGCAGATTAAGAAGTCAAATTTGTCCACCTTGAAGAGGCGATAAGCTTCTTCATACTCGACAAGCCCAATCATGGCAACAGCAATGATGGCAGATAGAGCCACCAGGGGAGTGTACCTGAAGAGAGGTGCCAAGAAGAGCAAGACCAACATCATGCAGATTGACATAACCACATTGGACATTGATGTCTTGCACCCAGCATGATAATTAACTGCTGACTTTGAAAAAGGACCTGCAGCACCATGATATAATTCTTTAGCTCAAAAAAAGAAGAAAAACTTTAGGTTTAATCAAAAGCTAAACGTGAACAATGCTGCTACAATAATCTCAATGTACTGATCAAGAGATACTGATCCACACCAGTGGTAAGATAGCATGAGAAGCAAGAACCAACAATGTTCATTAATCCAAAAGCTATCATCTCTTTGTTCCCATCTATTTGCTCGTTCTTCAGCATTCCTAGGCTCCTGCCAACTGCAATTCCTTCCTGGGATTCAAGGAATGAAATGATCACAATATATTAGGAAAGTCATTGGAAGAAAAATTGAGGTTGATGAGCAGAGATGATGTTGTATTACTGAGAGTGCCAGGAAAGCTGAAATCAATGAAGCCTTCATGATAGTCCCAATATAGTTAGACTGGAACTTTAGATCAGTAATGCTGACCGGATTAAGTCCTTTGTTCAATGGACCAACCTGCCAAAATCACGAGAGTACAATTGGCTCAGTGCTTGAAACATTTGGAGAAGACCAATATTCACATTTTTTGAGACTCATAATCTCAGTGGATTTTGCACCATAAAGAGCAGGAGCTAAAAGTTTGAAGGTGATAAGTGATCTTCTATCTTTTGGTAAGGTAAGAATAGAGGAAGAGATGGTTGCGGAAGAAGACTTAACTATTTGGATTCCATGATCCTCTGCTTTCACAAGATAAGCGAAGACGCATCCCGATACGACCACAAGCAGAGGAGAGATTACCGACAACCAAAAGAGTTTTGGAACTCTGGTTCTCTGCAAATTATTTTTTATTGCCAGTGATCAGTACACCGATCAGATATGGATACAAAGGCAAGAATCAAGTGCGGATGCCAAAGTTCTTACTCACCAGGTGCTTACAGAAAAGCAAAAAGCCGAAGAAGCAGAGTCCCAGTGCTGCAGACTCCCATCTCCACTGAATCACAATGTAAACTGATTACGTAAATCTGATTGGAACAGCAGAAAGCCTTATTTCCAATCTATGGCTCTGATCGTTTCTTGTAGAATTATCGAAATGTAAAGCCTGTGAGTGAGTTCGGCAAACCTGATTTCTATTGGCGAGCAGAGCACGCACCGCTGAGACAACATCGGTCTTGGTGGTCAAATGCTTCAACCCGAGGAAGCCCTTGAACTGTTGCGTGATTACTATGACGGCAGTTCCCCCCATGAATCCGGTGATGGTGGACCGCGACAAGAAATCCACCAGTATTCCCAGTCTGCATGCGGCATGCACGTAGTTTCCCGTCATTGCTCTCTGAATAGCAAGCAGTCACAAATTGCCAACCCTCACCTGAAGATTCCTAACGCTGCTTCGATGATCCCGGTGAAGAAGGCGGCCGTGAAGAACAGATGAATGTACAACTGCGGGTCCGCCGTGGCCGAAACTGCAGTTCCGATGACGGACCCCATGAACAGCGACGCTCCGGCCACGGTCCCGACAGCCAAGTTAGTGGAGCTGCCGAAGACGGCGTAGACCAACGGCGGAATGAAGCTCGAATCTGCGTCGCGCAAACCATCCCAAATCGATACAGACCAAAAAGAAGACTTGTGACACGCGATGCCATGCATGAATGGACGAGGGATTAATTACAGAGGCCAATGATGGGCGGAAGGTTGGCGAGGCGGGCGTAGCTGATGCCTTGGGGGATGGCGACGCTGGTGATGGTGATACCGGCGAGGAGATCGAACCGGAACTTGGCAAACGTGTACCGGGGCGCCCATTCGAGTATGGGAACAAAATACTTGAGGTAGCCCCACGCCACCGTGCACGCCGACTTGCCCTTGAGATAGCGGAAGGGATCGTCCGGCAAGAGCGTCTCTTTCAGGCCGTCCCGGAACGACGAGAGGAACGTCCGCCCGCTGGAAAAGTTCACCTTGTTACGTTGCACATCCAACGTTCCCATGACGGCAAGTCGATGATCCCCGACCCGATCTCCGAGACACCCTTGGGACGCACAGGATGACAGAGCGCAATCTCCGAGGAGAAGATATAGTCTCGGAGATAGCCTTGGGAGGTTGATGAAGGCGGTTTCCGCAACGGAAAGAGCGAAGAAATTAGGGGGAGGGAAGAGCTGCATCGAATGCGGGGAAGGGACGATGCATGGACTTTGACACGTGGCAGTTGTTGTGGGTTGCTTTGACCGCAGATCCATATGGTAATTAAGAGGCAATCTATGATTCATTAGGATAGAGTTTAGGATAACGGATGAAGTGGAGATGCCAGATATAGGAGAAATGGAAACGGAAGCCTCCTTCCAGATAAAGCAATGCATTGAAGTCGGTGGGAGAGAGAGCTTCCGAATCGTTTAGCTGTGAGGGAGGAGACAATGGTGTGTTTGTCTGATACGAGGAGGTAGCAACCGGGGGAGGAAGATAAAGATGAGAGAGCGAGAGAGACAAGAGGATGTCGAACGGTGCAATGCTTTCATTATTTTCTTATATTATACTTAATTATCATCAAATGTTGAAACTTTAATTTATATTATACCATTAAGAAGACGATTCATCCATCAATGCATTTAGATGGGGTCCCAATCGATCAGCGTGTGTGTGTTTAGATGGGGTTCAATTGATCAATATGATGATGACGATGATGACGATGATAATACTCATCATCATCATAGTAGTATTAATGGTGATGGTAATCGTAATGGTAGTGACGATGATGATAGTAATATATATTAGTATTGATAATGATAATTATAAGAATAGTGTTGGTAATAATAATGATAATACCAATGCCAAGATCAAAATCAAAGTCAATACTATTATTATTATTATTACCACTATCAATATCATTATTATTATTATTATTATTATTATTATTATTATTATCATTATACTAGTATTATTATTATTACCAATACAAATATCAATACTATTATCATTATCAATATAAATTGAAAGAAATATTAATAAAAAAAATATATATGAATATCTACTTAGTTTGATATGTATTAATCGTGTTAGTCTTGACTAATTTGGCTTAAACTCATATAATTGAAGGTGTTTTTTTTTTTCTTTTTGATAATTTCTGTATTAATGCTTCTGTGTTCTAAGAGGAAGCTGGAATCATAACATCTCCATGCTGAATGCACTGTAACGTGAAAAATGAGTCCATCCATTGCTCGAGATCTAATATTCATCTTTTTCATGGGCAATTGCGTTCAACTGGGAAAAAATTATATCCGATAATATATACATACACGCACACATTGCTGGCTGCAGGCTGTAGTTTGCTTATATCCGCTTCAACATATAAACAAGTGGTCGTCTTCTCTAATGGTGCATATCTCTTCAATTTCGGCTCCATCAGCTGCCACAACCCTCGTTGCTGTTATCTCAAATGTCCTCTCTGCGCATGAAACACGTTGTTAAGGAGGTCTCAATCGTTCTCTGTTGTTAGAGTGTATGTACAGGAGAATAACCAATTGTTTAGATCCATTTGACATAGATTGTCTTAAAAGAAGAAAAAAAAAAGAAACTGAGGTATGAATCATGCATGTCTGGATAACTGTTCTTATATGGGTTCTTAGTAAAGTATTTAAGACAACGAGCTAAGTGGTTGATCACATGAGTTTAGATTCAGGGATAGTCCTATTTGGAGAGTTCAGGATGTAGTCTAAGTTAAGCAGAAATGATATGATGATTAAGACATAATAATATTAATCTTTATCTTAGCAGCCTGCTGATGGAAACTATGAGATGTAGCATACTGCTTTGTTTGCTAGCTTCAACCTACTATTCTTGCAGGGATAAGGAGATTTCTTTGAAACAGAGTATCTCATAATCTATGATAAATAATGCCAAGCATAACCTATGTAGCAGTGAGTTCAGAAACATACTCCAAAGAAGCAGCAACTACCATAGTAATCCATCTATATCACACATCAAAAAAAATTTCCAAATTAATTAGCACACCTAACTTGTATTTCCTCTTGATAATAGTTTTGAGACTTCTTTATGTAGCAAAATTGTTGCTGGTTGTGTATTATACAATTCCTTTTACACCTTGATACAAATGTTCTTTGTCACATTGGCAATTTGGTTATGCTATTTATGCCTCTGGTGTTTCAGGCTACCTCATTCCTGATTAGAATAGATGGAAACATTTCGATGTCTATTGATTGTAATAACTTCAAAATAGTTCTTTGAGTGGTTGCTCTAAGTTTTTACCATAGGCAACAAGAGAAAACTTTGTGGCATTCATTTGTGGATTATTAGATTCCCATACCTGCTAGTTTCAATAGCTCTTCCATTGAATCAGGTAAAAAGATGAGTTTTCCTGCAGCATGCCTTTCCGGTTTGTTTGTTGCATCAGGATGATGTCCATGAATTGTCACTCTCTTGGCTAAATCACATGAAGCTGGACCCATAGCTGCGGCCGGTGGTCCTGCAAGAGTAAAGCATCTCTCATTCAATTTTTTGATACTTTGCTTTCCTTAACATAATTACTAGATATAACCTAATTATATGTTTTTGAAAGAAGCTGTTCTAATGCATGTAATGTCACATTGTGTCCCAATTTCACTTTCTTGAACTTTTTATCTAGTATTTTGACAAATAGGATAAATGCACACATATCAATAATAAACAGTTTATGGTGCATAAAATTCTGATAGAATTGACCTTCCTCTTACATTCTAATACTTTGAAGTCATAATTGTACAGACCTACTGTGAATACCAGATGTCAAAACTTTTATGTTTCTTTTTCACATGTGCTTAATCTATGTGGAGAGAAAATTACCTTCTACACCAGCATCATTTGGCATCGATGATTCAAGATCTTGTGATTCCTCCAAGGGCTCTTCATGCTGCCCATAAACATCATAATCGTAATTCCCGAAGACAACCATGTGAATTTACTAATATGAAATGGGTGCGGTGTGCCGTAAAAGAAAAAAAAAAAACATTTAGCTATCTACTTAGTTCTTGTTTGATTACTGCAAAGATCAAGATTAGGCAAAAGTGCTGAATATGTAGGCATTTTATACTGACTGATACGTTCTGCTTACAGTTGGAGCTGCTGTTAGGTGGATTTACATGACATATTCCCTTTGCAGTTTCCAGAGAGAACTTTTGCTTCTCTGGCCAACATAATTATTGATGTTTCTTCCAGTATAAGAGAAGATGTACCTCATTCATTTGCTTAAGCAACTCTGGCACAAAGGGTACTTCCTCAATCAAGTCTTTGCTGAGCTCCTTCAGGAACTGCAAAAAGATGGAGTCGAAGTTACAAAATATGGAGATTCTCAAGTTGAAATTAATTCAGGCATTCTTTTGTTCTTAACAATCATCATTATATGAGAGAACATGAATGGATAATGATAAAGATGGATCCTCCTTATCGATAGTGTTCTTTGTTTTACACCTAAAGCTTTCATATCCAAGTTTTAGCTGCAAACCTGGATGTAATTGGAGAAGACTATTTTCCCATCCTCACTATATGGCTGTACAATTTGCATAAAATGGCGATGGCTTATCCGTACAACCTGCGAAAGCCTCTTGCTTCGAACTGTAAATGGCTGTGGGATGTTGAAGATTACTCCAATTTCCCCAGCCACATCTGCAGGACCTAATGTTGACAGAAACTATATTCCACCTTACATCAGTAAACATTCAGTCTTATAAACATCAGAAAACAGGAAACATGTGCAGTACATCACTGGAATTTATTTGCTTAAGATTGAAGATACAAAACATTCGAGTTTTTGTACAAAATGCATATGTACTCTGTTACATATTCTTCTCCAATATAATCTATGTAGAAAGTCTGTTGAGTTTGTGATTGCTAACATAGAATATATCTTATTTATCTATAGTCCAAAATCTTATCTTTTGTATCACATTGTCGTTTATTAATGGAATGCCTAAAGTGAGCATATCAGCAAGCATGTATCAGGCACTGGTGGTGGGATCTATATTTCTCTGCGCTACAAAGATTTGTTGCTTAGAGTTGTCGGTCGTACCTTTTCCGATCCATTCTTAGTCGTCAAGACATCCTGCATGATTCAGGTAAGGAAGAATCAGAAGAGGGGAAGGACTTAAGATGTTTGATAGAGTGTAGGCGTTGCAGCCATACCACTGCTCCAGAGACAATGATGTAGAGATCCGTGGGGATCTCGTTCTCTATAATGATATCCACTTTAGGAGGGAAGTACTCTGCTTGCATCTCCGAAACCTGTCGGAAAACATCATTTATATCAGGTGAACAAGGATGTGTTGTTCTTGTAGTTCCTTCACCATGTTTTCGCTCTTTTGTTACCGTGTTTAGTGTTCGATCAAGTTCACCGTCAATCATATTTGATATCAGGTATTGGACGAAATGAAGAGAGTTACCAGCTGAACTATGAACTCCTTCGAGACCCCTTTGAACAGGTAGGTTCCCTCGACCGTGCGTTGGAAGAGATGCTGAGCAATGGTGGATCTGATCGCCTTGGGCAGGTCCGCAATCACTTCCTCTTGCTGCAACTCCATCGTCTTGAACTTGAGCTGCAGGTGCGCCATCATCTGCTCTCTCAGGCCATCCGACAGCCGGTGCTTGCTCGCGAAGCGCGAGACCTTTTGTATGGTGTCCCTCTGCAAGCAATCAAAAAGAGCTTCGTATATAGATCATGTTACCGACCGTGGAGGATGCAGAGGCGGCGGCAAATACCATGAGGAAGGTGCGGGTGGCGGCGTGGACGATGAGATTGGTCATGTTGCCAATGAGGTAGGCGGTGAGGCCGATGTTGAAGAGCATGAGGAATATCGTGAACACCTTCTCCCCGGTGTTCCACGCATGCAAGTCTCCGTAGCCGACGGTGGTGAGGGTGGTGATGGACCAGTACATGGCGTAGGTGTAGCCCAGCCATATGCTTCTCTCCTCGAAGTCCGGCACCAGGCTGCCAATCCACGTGTGATCTTTCACTCGGTAGTGGATGGCCATCCAGTAATAGACGCAAGCCGCCGAGTGTACCGCAAACAATGTCACCTGCGGCAACCCAATCCAATCGACTTTGGTCAATTTTGACCGACGAGTCGCAGTCAAATGATTTAATTTCTTGCCAAATAATGCATGAGATTTCATGAACATGCATGCGCAGGAGGCCAAACAGCTGCGTTACGATTCGTGCTTACACAGATGAGCTTCACGTATCTTGTCCAGAAGTAGCTGAACCTGATGTCTTTCTCCAGCCTGAAAGATTTGAACTTCTCTGTAACTTTCGATGATGAGACGAAATAGTACATATGCATGTGTTTCATTTGCCATGACAGAGGCGAACATAAAGCAATGATTGTAGGTTGGAAGAGACAAGTTGACTATAGTCATACATGGAGGTGTCGGTCGAGACCTTACCTTGCGAACAGCTTGCTTGCCCGCCTGAGTCGCCACAACCGGAGCAGATTCACAATTCCGAATACAGTGCCGCCGTTTCTTTTACCGGTGAGGACGCGGTATATGATCTGAAATGGTACGGTGGATGCTACATCCATCACAAACCATGGCCTCGTCAGGTATCTGCACCACACAAGAACACGAAATATATTACTTTGGTTTGGAGATGGAGCTTGAAGATTAGGAGGATTAAATCTCATGTACGCACCGCTTTGCTATCTTTCTCCGGTCGTCGACAAGGAGGTACGTGGAACTGTTGAAGTAGGCGACGAAGAAGGAGATGACGATGTCGATCGCGAAGAACACGTCGACGACGAGGTCGAAGATGAGGAGCGAGCCCGAGCCCACCTGCTGAAACGCTAGCTCGAACGGCGACGCCCAGGCCGAGTAGAAGACCAGCACCATCAGAAACATCTGCCACCACCTGTTTCCGAGAATTGAGATTAACGCCACGGGCAAGACATCGAGGCATTGGTAACACAAAGAAATCCATGAAACTAATGGTCGATTTCTATGCGTTACGGAGATTGCACTGTTAGAAGGGAGTCATCCTCTTCACCTGTATCTTGGATCATAAGGTGCAATAACATATTTCTTGATGGCAGGATAGTTGCCGTCGATGCCCGCTCCAAAGGCAGGAAGGAGACTGCTTGAAAGCGCAGCGAAGCTCTTAATCTGGCCACTTGACCCTCCCCTTCTCAACCATGACGGCTGCTTCTGCTTCTTCCTCTCGTCGTCCACCACGGCAGCTTCGACTTTGCCGTTCCCCTCCTCGTCGGTCACGGCTTCAACTCTGTTGCTCATCTTCTGGTGCAACAGCTGATGGTTCTATCTCCAACCGGATTGAAGGGATGCAGGATCGAGTCTACGGAGGATCACATACATCTACAACACCAATACTGCATCGACATTCTGATCTCCATCCGCAGCATGCGATGCAATATTTATGAGAAGTATCTGACCATGCTTCTTAGAAAAGAATAAAGAGAGGTAGAATTCTGATAATGTTAAAGCTTTCTGCACGCTTAAGTTGTTTATTTTAAGGTGAATTATTGCAGGAAAAGTCAACTGCTACTCGTCACCACCTCCTCCTCCGCTAATGCTTATGGTCCACAATGCCAATCATCTTAAAGAAATGGGTTTCCAAAGTCCATGAAATAGATCTGGCACAAGGCAACAACCCAGCGTCTTAAATGAGGGTGGAACAGATCGAGATGATGCCCAGGAATTCAATGTTAAATTACGACCGACAAACTGGACTCTTAATCCCCAGTGCACATCAAATGGAAGAAAGATACAGGGAGATATGTCAGCTTCTAGTTCTGCTGCTTCCCTTGAATTGTTGTTTCTGGCTATTGTGTTGGTGGACTTGCTACCTAAACCCATGAATGGGTAACGAAGGCAAATGGAAAATGAATTCGTGCTGATATGTATAGAAGGCTGTCGGAAGGAGATGAGGTTGCATGCATGTGGACAAGAAAACCTTTTCTTTTCCCTTTGGATGATCTCATTATCATTGATCACGTTCTTTAATAGTTCTGCTAAATGTACGATTTGATGTCAATCTACCTGTCAAGAGAAGACGACTTCTTTTTTCTTTGACCAAAATGTTAATCCGAAAGTAATTGCACTCACATAACTATTTCAGTGCATAGATAATGAGTAACATTTCAACCTTTGTTCTGGACTCATAGATTACACCTCTGACATAAAGTCTCATCCGAAGAACCTTCTTGGAAAAGACATCTCATTTGGAAAGAAGAATTACTGTCTGTTGTTTCCTTTCTTACAAAAGGAAAACAACACATGAGAGTAGCAGGTGAGAGTTTTATATGCATGAAAAAGCACACGTAGATAAGGCCGGCCGCAGAAAGACCTGTTGGAGTTTGAATGAATCAATCAGCTTAGCAGTCAACAAGTCATATTTCCACAGTTGTTGTCAAATCTTTGTGATGCAAATCAACATCTCAACTTTCTTTTAAGAATGAATGAATCTATTTGAGATACCGAAAATTCTTAACTCGGTTGGTTGATGTCATGATCTGATCTGTATTAATCGTATCATAATCGCAGTATTATCTGTTTTGCGTTGGTTGTGTCCATGTTATATATCCTCATTGCGAGCATTTGACTAACTTCTCCAAGGCTCTACATGGATTAAAAGGATACTATATCCTATCGTGATCAAAGATGATTTAGTGACAAGCATTGTGCTTATTGCTTGTATTTGAGAAAGCTATCCAAGCATAGTTTTCACTCACGAGTAGATATGTTAGTAAGCAGATTCTTCACCTCGATCTACTTTGCAAGCCATTCAAGTGCGCAATCAATGGACCATGCTGCAGTCACGTGGAGAGTGTGAGTGCTTCCATACACAGCCATCTCATCGGAGAGGGAGAACATTCCATATGCTTCCAAGGAACCTCTTGGATCCATTCGTTCTTCATCTTTTCCTCACTCATGGAGGGCGGAGACGAGGAACCAAGCAGTCTTCCGTAAACAATGCTAATTTTCTGCTTCTTTCAGAGTTCTCTCATCAATAAGCTATAATGAACTGATCACTGGAAAATATATCTTCTGCGCATTCAGTACTTGATTATTAGTGAGAGAAGAATTACAATGTTTTCTTGTTCTCTACATTGTTGAGGCAAATAGTATGTATCAGAAACAGAGATCTATGTGAGGCAGGACGGCGGTCAATGTACAAGATAGGTAACAAGAAGGGCCACAAGCATCAGCACATAAGCTATCCCTTGATCGATGGCTTTACCTGCACAAGAAGGGCCACAGTATTAGCGATTGGGAAAACACAGTACACGAGAGGCATGAACACAATGATTGTGGTGCTTATGTTCACCGTCAATTCTCTTGGCTGTGGTACTGTCAGCAGGTGAGGCCATGACTCCCTGACTCAAAAGAGGATGGAAGAGCACTGCAATCAAGACGTAGGCCAGAAGTAGAGCTCTCATCTTCGATGCACATGCCATCTCTTCTGTAGTCACCAACTCTCAGATGTTGCCGTCAACGAGAGAGAGAGAGAGAGGGAGAGGGAGAGAGATGGGAAGCCATTCCTGCATGCGTGGTTATTTATAGTGGATCGTGAAGCCTCTGCGAGTCTTAAAGTGATTGAAACATTGGTGTGAGACCATAACGTGAGATTTCAGGCCTGCCCACAGAGTTTGACTGCATGATACTGTAAAAAGACCACGAGGGTGGCAAAACTCAACACGATCCAGCAACGTACGTTTCACGTAGCAGCGTACAAGCACGACATGTTGGTTTCTGGTGTTCTTGGAATGGTCTTGGAACGAGTCAAGAGTCAACAGAGAGCAGCGCTGTGAGAGCAGAGGTCTTCAAACACGCATCCAGGAAAGCGAAAAAGGAGACGACTTGTTGAATCTGGACTCGTACTCAGCACAAAAATTACAAGTAAACAAAACAGGCTGGGGAGTTTGAATCGTCATGAGGCCGTTCTTCACACGATATACTTGTTTTTGCTCTTGTTTACATGGAAAACATGCATGCGACTGACTCAAACTTTTTTGTTTCTGGAGTAATTGATTGCACCAACCATGAAACAAGAAGCCCCAATCCAAATGAAGATCTGAATCTGAATGCTTCATAGATCAGAGTTTTAGATTTGTTATGCAGCAAAAGAGCTCCACGGGTTGAGTATCAGGATCTCCGAGTGCTCTGACATATCACTGCAGAAGCGAAAAGCACAAAGGAATCTCAAGTCTTGAAGCAGCAGCATAAACACTCCCACCATTTCTCTGTTTCCTTCGCATGGATACATAAACGTATTAACCAGTTTTTGTACTGTGTATGAAGAGCAGATCTTATGGGACCAATCGACAGGTGTGCTCCAGCAAATGAAGAGCAGATCTTAAGATTAGATATGTCTGCAGTAGGATCTTCTCCAGAACAGGATCTAATACTAAAATTAAACCAAAACCATCATCTTTTCTACTTCTGTTCTCTGTTTTTTTAGAATTTAAGTTCTTTATAATGGTACTAATTACAAACAACCATCATTTTTTTTTAATTCTCTGTCTCAATTTCATGATCGATAACCGCAGTTACCTCTTCAACCTAAAATATTACTGCAATTTTGATGTTCTTTCACATATCCATCCATCTGATCTAGAAGACTAGAACTGTGATGGCAAAGCTTGGTCATGCTAGCTCAAGCTTATGAGCTACTTACTGTTATATTTATGCTCTTTTTCTGACAGAAAACTTCTGATTTGATCAACATTGATGGCATCAATTTACTTCCTAGCAGGCGATGACTTCAAAATTGGATCTTTTTCTGATTTTTCTTCTTTAATCAACATATAGCATTTCTTCAACACAGACTGTAATCCAACATGACAGTTTTATCTACTAATGCGAAGTCCGGTGAAATTATTTATAGCTGGACCAAACTATTTGCAGTTGCCCATAATGAATATTTTCTCTAATTACTTTCTCACTATGTTCTTCAACTATGATATGATGCTCTCCATTTGACTAGGTTACGGAAGACGAAATAAAATTAAGTTACCATATCGGATGTAGAAAGTTAACAGAAAGAAAAAACTCAACACTACCTTGCAATAACAAATGCAGAAGTAGCCATTGTCCACTGTAAGTACTAAGCATTGATGGAAAACCAAACGAAATAGTTCTTCCATACAAATCAACAAAACCTAAAACCTTTTACATGCTTATAATTCTTCGAGAGAAGGAACATGCAGTATGTGAGAGTGAAAGAAAATACAGATTTATCGCATTTGCCCAAATGAAGAAGAATGCTGGACTTATTCAACTTACACAGAACTGGATCATGATGTGTCATTCCAAGTCCACAATTCCAAAATTGGATAGAAGGATCTTTAGCTGTTGAACGAAACTTGCGCCCGTTGCATACTCTGTTAGCAGCCCTACGGCAAATCCAAACATAGCCCATCTGCAAAATCACCAAACAACATCCAGCAAAAGTGAATGCTTGCTAACCAGTATCGGTAGGTGGCCGAAGACCACTCGTGAAACAAACAAGTTGAGCAAATGGTGACATTTGGGTATCCAACATTCTCCGAGACAAACAATTCTTGTTCTAGCCAGTGAAGAAGTTACTGAGGTACCAGGAATTCAATTATTGGCTAACGATGAGGAGCAACATGCGAGAAAATACTAGCAAGCAACAAATATTGAGGATGAGAATACCTGATTGATGTCTGAACTTTCCTGTGCACAAACATTTCTATTTTATCAGTTTATAGTTAATATGACAGTGTTTTCAAGGGGAAAAAGGAAAAATTAACAGGAAAAAGGCCTAAAACCTTTTATGCTGTACTTTAATATTTGATGTGAATCTAAATAAATAATGAATACCATAGTTTTCCATTGGAAGCATAGTACACCTATGCAAATGTATGGAGGCCAAATATAACACGCATAAGTTCAATCATTCTGTAACCACACTGTTCTCCTATCACGATCTCTATAAAATCGTAACTGCTTGCATTATCTTATACATACTTTCTCATCTTTTTCTTCTTAATCTTTACTCCAACAGAAGCTTTAATCAGCTCAAATTCGTATTCTGATCTTTCTTGTTTTCATTTTCTCTTCAAGAAAAGATGTGCACATGATGTTGCTGGGAGATGGAACCCCTGATACTGAGAAAAGCCACCTGGATGCCCCCAGTCATCCAACTACCTGGACAAGGCCATATCGATCTATTATCTAACTGATGCAATTAATCTAATCACCCATATAGCAGCAGTTCTTACCGAGGCAAGCTCCCAATATCCAGTCGGATTAGGACTCCATAGAACTAAACTTATCAAAGATTGATGTTCATAAATTTCTGAAGACTTTCCTTTCTCAATTTTACTTGAACCCACATATCAGCCATCTTGGTTTAAGAACAAACCTCTATCTTGGGTATTAGTCTCAAGTTTACATCTTAATGACATACATTACAATGAAACAGATAATTCAGATAGCTGATCGAAACATTTCTCGCATTCTAGCTGAAACAAATTCGAAAACAAATGGGAAAATTTTGAATGACTCTAATTTATCAGCACCCACGCAGAAGAAACTTTAATTTTCTTTATCAGATAATAAAATTGAAGGAAATAATTCAACAACCGACAGTTTGGATGAATCAATTCATTAGCACCTGCCATTGCTGATCTCATTCTTGCCCAAGAAACCAAAGAAGGGGCCCTGGTTTGCCTCCTCAAGCTTCTTCTGCTTGAAGTAGTCCTGCAGCTCCTTTGCCACCTTCCTCTGATACTCCAAAGTCACCACCATCTCTTTGGTGGCCGCAGCCGCAGCCGCAGCCGCCGCCAGCTCCACTGGCTTCGTAGACTGAGCTGAGGTGGAAGTGGGTGGAGAAAGTGGTGGCGGAGGAGGGGAGAGAGAAGGAGCTGCAGGTCTCCTCAAAGGGCCATCAGCTCCGGAACACCTAACGATGGCAGATGGCCTCAAAGCCACTCTACGAGAAGGGTGAGGAGAGATTCTGATCCTGATGGAAGGAATTGTGGTAGCTACAGACATCTTCTTGCGCTCTCTGTATCTCTCCTGTGTGTTCCTTTTCCTCTTTTGGCCTTAAAAGTTGGATTTGTGTGGAAGAGAGAGAAAAAAACTAAATCAGAATATAGATAAAGTGCTAAATCCTGAGGATAAGAAGTAGCCAAGTCTTCTGCTGGGAGATCTCAAGAACGAGGCTGATGTGTCCAATTCATGTTGGCTGATGTATTTATTATACTCCATCAAAGTTCTTCCTCTATCACTTATTGCAAAAATTTGAATTGATTTACATAAATCAATATTTTAAAATAGTAATTTAGATTTATCAAATCAGTAAATTTATTATCTTATCGAATCATATCGTACTATAATAAATATAAACATGATAAAAACGAAAGATGATCCTTCCTACCTATTTATATCATCTATATTCGTATCTTTGTCGATATCTATTATGATTCGAAATCTATTCTAACATTATATTATCAATCATATATTCATCAAAATTTTATAAATTAATAAAAAAATATTTTATTTATTTATATCGTCATCCTTTTTTATAAGTTAATTTATTAAAATATTTTTTAATTTTATTTTCGTTCTACATCAATATTAGTTAGTCAAGCAAAGAGCTATAGAAGGAACTCATCACATCAACTGAAGTTTTGATTGACACTCAATAATTAAACATTAATTACAGTAAAAAAAAAGAAGAAAACACAGTGAATTTTTGGCACTGTACTCTATTAATTTATTTATGAAACACTAAAAGAAATCATATAAAAAATTTGTTTCCCTTCCATAATAATCATTATTCACGAATATACTACTATACATTAGCAGTAGTAATGGAAATGTTCATATGAATCAGATCAATGAGTTTTAGAATGACAGGGACTTCATGGACCTCAGCACAGCCACAAGAAGAACCCAAAGAAATCTTTTCTTCTCGGCAATGGTTAAGTATGAAAGGTGCCAAAGATGTGCCAATCTCTTGTCCATTCAAAGACACAACTTGACTCTCCTTCTCCCTCTCTCTCTCTCTCTCTCTCTCGCTCTCTCTCTCTCTCCTCACACCATTATCTTTAAGCATAAAAGAAATTCCAAAGACCAACATGAACAACGATCAACCAGTCACAAATAGAGCAGTATAAATTGATCTTTCATAACTCATAAGACATTAGATTACTAATATTTTTTTTACTATTTATGAAAGATTTTAAGATAGTTTTAATCAATGTCCGTCGTACTGAAGCGTACTATATGTATCGGACGATACGTACCGGTCCGACAGATTATCAGTATGCGGATCGTCCGGTATCGCTACACTGCTATAGTATTATACTGTAGCATTGCTATAGTGTTATAGTATTATACTGTAGCTATGAAAAAATATAAAATTATTTGTGTATCGATTGGTACACCCTGATGTACCGGACGGTACATCAGTACCATACCAAACTCGGGTCAAAACATCGGTACGATACTGTACGACGAATCTTGGTTTTAATCTTAGTGAATGATCCAATCTAGCAATATAATCCTATCATCTCAAAATATGATCCACATGTTTAGACTACTGGGACCTCATATCCTCATCTCCAATTATTGCTCACCCTTTCTCAACATCCAATCTCTTCTTATTGATTTATTATATGTATCTATCTCTCCCCTCACCCTAAGCCAGCTTTTGATAGAGAGATTATTAGCAATTTAAAGAAAACAAAACAAAATTAAAAAACAAGGAAAAGTCACAGCCTTACAAATTTGATTCAAATTGTAAGTTTGACTCAGTTTTGATTAAGATAGAAGAGACATGACATTTTTCAAGCTGGATTATATTGACTAGAATTTTGAGTGGGATCAATTAAAAGAATAAAATAGGCAAAAAAAATAGATCAATATTTTAAAAGAATATGATGTGAATAAGAGGGATAAAAAATATTACAAAATTAGAAAGAAAAAAGGTTAATAATTCTTTTAGGATTTTTTTAAATGAAATATATAATTATTATTTTTTTTCAAAAAGCTTATCAGTTGCTTTCTTTTTATCTTCCGTTCTTTATAATTCTCGCCGCTGCCCGCTCTGCCCGTCATCTCTCTGTCTCTCGTTCTTCTCGCCGCTGCCCGCCCTGCCCGCCCCTTTCCCTTTCCTCCTGTCTCTCCACCTCCCCCCTTCACTCTTCTCTACTTCTCTTTCTCACTCCCTTCGATTAGGGCTCCCGAGGCGACCTCCCCGTCTCTCCCGCCGTTTGCCCCCCTTGTTTCTCCTCTCGGTTCTTGCTTCTCCAGGGTTTCCATCTCACTATCCTTCTCCAATTCCTTTTTCTTTTTATTTCCCTTGCTGCTGCTTGGCGTTTCTTGTTCCTTTTTTGTGTGTGATTTTTCCGGGCACAAGGAGGAAACTATTTCTATTTTTTCGGTTTTTTCCTTTGAATTTGTTGGCGTCCGTGGATCTTTGGGGCGCAGATGGGGTTTTGAAGCGTTTGGTTTCTTCGAAATGGTGTTGGGGCCCGAGGAGGCAAAGCTGGCCGCGTGGGAGGGTTCGAAGGAGGGGATTGGGAAGAATAAGAGGAGGAAGAAGACCAGGGGTGGCGGCAACAACAACACCAAGGGGGAGGAGACGACGGGGTGCTGGATGAAGTTCCGGTTGATGGGGGGTTGCGTCCCTTCCAGAGCCAAGGTGGATAATTCCATCAGCAGCGCCACCACTCATTGCGGTAATTCCTAGCCCTGCTTCTCCCTTCTTATCTTTCAATTCGGTCTTGCTTGATGCTCGCAGTGGTTTCTATTTGTGTCCCAACTATGTATCCCAGATGCCTGATGCTCATAGCGGTAAATAAGACCTCTGTTACTCTGGTGCCACTCAAACTTCTCTATTATTAAGACAGGGGCTTATCTTTTGGCAATTATTGTCGGTAATGATTCGTTCATAGACAAAATTTGTGAAAGCATTGTTGTTCCTTGATATTATACTTGCCTATATTATAGGACTCTTGATGGGTTGATTCAATGTTGCGTGTTTTCGTATTTATATGCTTAGATATGATGCTTGTTGTTTGGTTATTATTTCTTTAATGATAATCAGTCCCTGGAACATAAACGTGGAAGAAATGATTGTTTTCGTGCCCAATTGGTCCAAAATAAGATGACACAAGGTCTAAGGAATAAATTAGCTCTGATAATTGCCGTCTGATTTTGGAAATTCCACATCTTCCAACTCTAGTTGTTTCTCTGTGGTTAAGAATGCCCTTTGGCATGCATGTTATTATAAGAGTTGTGCAGAGATGGAAGGTGGAAGCCTTTTGATTTCATTTCCTCATGTACTGTAAATTCAGATGTCAGATGCAGTTTTCCTAGGATTATTTGAGAAGCGATGGGACTATAGGAGAATTTGCAGAACCTTTAGTGCAAAGAGGGCATATTAGAGAAAAATTAAGAGCAAGGGAAAGATATTTACAAGCCATTTTGGAACTCATCATAATTAACTGATCTTTAGCTTGACTACAAACTTGTGGTGAGTGGTTTCTCTTTCTTGCCAGCTATTCTTTGCAGTAAATGTCTTGACTTATATATAGTAGCAGATCCCACATTCTGATGTTTTTGGTTAGTGAGTAAATGAAGAAGATCTTGAGTTAATCTTAATATTCTTTCTTTATTCGCATGAGGCAGGTAAGTTGACAAGAATTGACCATCACAAACATTATTGGCTAAGTGGAAATTTTGAAGAAAATATGTGGCCTGTGTTGGTTTCTTGATATTGTCATCATGGTTTAGTCGATAACTGTGATGCATATTCTTAGTTGATATTTTTTTATGAGATTTTCTGGATTTTCTCAAGTAATATATCTATAAAACCTGGAACATACTGTGACCTTTTATACCACCCAAATATTATCGACGTCTTCGGATGGACCTGACTGACTAATGATAAATGATGATTTGGTGTTTAGTCTACTTGTTGTTAGTGGCTTTTAGGAGCTTTGGATTTATTAAATCAATACAAAGTAAGTATATTTCTTCTACCTTTATTTGAAGAATATTTATTATCACAGTTCACGTGTCTCTGGCATCTTTGATTTTCTAGTTTTCTTGTCAGGCATTTTTTTTTAATGTTTTCCAATCAAATGCTGTATGAATCTTCTTGCTCACTTATGAATGAACTTGGGCAAGAGAGATTTTCATGTGAGACTATTGCAGTTTCTTGTTGGTAGATTGTGAACTCCGCAGAGTAGCCTATTGGTGGTACATTGAGGAGCAATTCTTAATAGTCTATCTTTGTAAAATTTACTTGCGCTCTAGGAATTGGTTGACATGAACATTAACCTTTTGATTTTGTAGGGCCAGCTTTGACACCAATGTAATCATTGTTCCAATGCTACTTCAATGATCGGGGTAACATTGCTCCTCGATGGCTTGGATGTTAGGGTTTGAATCACAAAAACAAGCTCAGCTTGTACTGATAAGACAGTGTATAATACTCCTTCCCGAACTCTGTTGGACAGAAACCTTGTGCAAAGGGCTATTCTTTTACCAAGCTCCATTTCCTAATTGCTTCTAAGAGATTTTAACTAGTCCTTTATATCATGTAAGGTAGATTGAATAAAGAAAGGATAGGGCTTCTGCCAATGTGGAGTGTGGATAGGGTGAATGCAAAAGCCTTTACAAGCCGAGATTGCTCCCGTCTCTTGAACCTTTGACACTTATCCAACTTGTATATAACTGGCTACCACATAGGTCTTCTGGTTACCTCAGATTATAACGTGGAAAAACTGAGTTTTGACATCAAGTACATTCTTGTTATCCTAAAACTTGCTTTATATGCAGAAATCTGTCATAATTGTTGCTTCTCTGCTTATAAATAGTTGTTTATTCGGCATTTTTTCTTCTTTTCTCTGAAGAAAGTTATTATCGTAATGCTATTCATCATTTTGTGTTCTTGTGCATGGACTTGCAGAAAGTAAGTCAACAAATGACGGTAGCAGGGACCAACCAGTTGCACCACTAGCATCTGGTTCTACCACCGGTAGCAATGCTGAAAGTAATTCATCTGCTTCTAAAGTCGGGGAGGAGCTAAAGGTTTCATCCCAGTTGCGGAAGTTCACCTTCAGTGATCTCAAGTCTGCCACAAGAAACTTTAGACCTGAAAGCCTTCTTGGAGAGGGAGGATTTGGCTGTGTATTTAAAGGATGGATCGAGGAGAATGGAACTGCTCCTGTGAAGCCTGGTACAGGACTTACTGTTGCTGTCAAAACTCTTAACCATGATGGACTTCAAGGGCACAGAGAGTGGCTGGTACACTGTTATTAAACTGCTAGTTTTGAGTTATTTGAAGAGAAAAAGAAGCATCTATTCTTTCCCATGTGTCCTTTAGATATGCAAATTTGTGATTGATTTTTTTTTTCATTACCTTCAGGCTGAAGTTAATTATCTTGGTGAACTTCAACATCCGAATTTGGTAAAGTTGATTGGATATTGCATTGAAGACGATCAAAGATTGCTAGTGTATGAGTTTATGCCTCGTGGAAGTTTGGAAAATCATCTTTTCAGAAGTATGTATCTCACCATGCCTTAGATCTTTTATTATTTTTCCAAGGATCCAATTCCAACAGGATCGTGTGTTAGGTCCATTTTTTCTCTTTTGTTAAATCATATTAAGTATTTCTTCAACCTGGTTGGAATGTTTACCGGAGAACACTATTTATTGAATTTTTTTGTGTTTTTATATTATCATTATATGTTTCACCGCCCATATATAACATATGATTATAACAACTTAGAAATTGAGTACTGTGGCACATGACATTTAAACATTAGGCTCAACCATCATAGTGCTTCTATTTTTGTGCGTATCATAAGCCTTAGTATTAACCAGTGATTTAAAAAGCGTTAGGCGTCAAAAGGCGCTAAGGTCCAAAAACGCCCGAGGCGCTAGGCGCTCGCCCGAGCGAAGCGAGGCGCTAAAATATAAAAATATATAATATAATTAATAAATATAATTATTTAAAATTTTAAATAAAAATATGCTATTAAATTAAGAAAAATCTAAGATACAAAATCATAATATCAAAATTAATAATTTCAAATAAACCTAACAATATTAACAGTATACAGTATATTGTTAACATTATATTGTTGTATACTTTTAACATTATACTGTTGTATACTGTTAACAGTATACAGAAGGAGAAGAAGGAAGAGTGTAAGGAGGTGCTGACTGAGAAAAGAGGAAGCGGCAGCAGCAGTGGGAGCGGGAATGTAAGGAGGCAGCGGCAGCGGGAGTGTAAGGAGGCAGCGATAGTGGGAGCAGGAGTGTAAGGAGGTAGCGACAGTGGGAGCGGGAGTGTAAGGAGGCAGTGGCAGCGGCAGCAACAACGGTAGTGGCGAACAACGACAGTGGTAGCGGCTACAGCGAGAGCAAGAGCGGGAGCAGGAGCGACGAGCAGCGGAAGCGGCGAGCGGTGATAACAGCAGCGGTTGCGAGCAGCGATAGCGGCGAGCAACGGGCGCGGGAGCGACAGCGGCAACGAGCAGGGTTAGGGTTGGGTAGTGACAACTGATATCGGTTTTAGTTGGTTCGATTGAACCAACTAACCATCGGAGACCGAACCAGACCTAAAATCCTACTTCGGTCGACTGGTTTAACCCAGGCGCTCGCCCGAAGCGCCCAATGCCTGGGCTCGGGCGAGTGCCCAGGTGGCACCTCTTTGAAGCGCGCTGCCTGGAAGTTTAGCGAGGCGCTTGGGCCTCGCCTCGCCTCGCCCGAGCGCCTAGGCGAGCGCCCAAACACCTTTTTAAATCACTGGTATTAACTGAGGCATGCTACTTGACATGGTCTAGAAAAAGAAGAATTATGCAGGCAGCTGGGGCACCACATGGGACATAGTGATAAGTGCACATCTAGGCCCATATGTGGACTGTCTCAAAAAGAATAATGACTGTCAAAATTCACATAATTAATTGGAAGTTTTTAAGAAAAAAATAAAAAAAGAGTAATAATAGTACTAAGAATCTTTGATAGTGTTGAACATAATGTTAATTCATAAGTGATACTCGAAAATGATCACAAGTTGAAGATAAGCTATTGTAAAAACCTATCCATTAATCATCATATGATGAGAGAGAGAGAGAGAGAGAGAGAGAGAGAGAGAGAGAGAGAGAGAGAGAGAGTAGTAGTAGTAGTAGTAGTAGTAGGTAGGTAGTAGTA